TTAGCCGTACCGAGCCTTGTGCTTGTGGACCCTGAACCGCCGGTGGTGGCCTCATCCTGAATCCATCTCTTCATCTGATGCCCACACATGCGTGATAGCCAGCCATCATCAGGGGAACCTTGCAGCTTGACAGCTCGAATGTCAGACAGGCGATCATATATCTTCAGCTACTTCCCTGGCTTGTCGTACTCACAATCCTCACTGTCCACCAGTTCCTCGGAATACGCGAATTCTTCGATCTACACACGACGCTACACCAAAACAATCTGATCTAAGAACTTCAACATGCCCCTGAAATCAAGATGGGGGTTGACGCCGCCGACATTGTCGGTCCCGACGTTCATGTTTGGTTCTTCGTCCTCCAGCCTCAACTCGACTGATAAAATTATCATTGATGCAAAACGCCCCAACACCCACTTTCTCACTCTTCATACCTATCGCGAATGGTCCAAGAGATTTGCTGCGGGGGTTCAGTCTACAGGACTTGAAAATGCCGATCGAGTGCTCCTATTTTCCCCGAATAGCATCTTCTATCCGGTTGTTGTCATGGGTGCTTTGATGGCTGGTGCCATCTACAACAGTGCAAATCCAGCCTATACGGCGCGTGAGCTTGCACACCAGCTCAAAGACTCGGATCCTCGAATCGTCCTCGCTGCGGAGAGTTGCATAGACAGAGCTCTGGAAGCCGCTGATTTGATTGGCTTTGACAAGAAACGCATCTTTCTGTTCTCTGAGGTGTCTATCGATCCTACGGAAGAACAATCATTCACCAGTACAAAAGTCCAGCATTGGAGTAGATTGCTCGCAAACCCCGAAATTGGTCGAACATTTGTCTGGGAAGAGCGTAACACCAAGACGTTCTCGGAGCGCACTGCAATCCTCATATATTCCTCAGGCACCACCGGCCTCCCAAAGGGCGTTGAGTTATCTCATCGCAGTCTCATCGCGAATATGCTTCAGCTCAAAACGATTCAAATGTCTGACCCCACCGTTACTGCTCGGCGGACTCTTTGTGCGGTCCCAATGTACCACGCACTCGGGCTGTGCTACTATACCTTCACGGCGCCCAAATGGGGTCTCGAGACGTACTTGATGGAGCGATTTAATTTGGCAGACTTTTTGGATCACATTCACACGTTCAAAATCACGGAACTGGTTCTAGTGCCGCCGATGCTGGTAGCGATGGCGAAGCATCCATCGGTTCGAGATGGCACCTGCGACATCAGCAGTGTCAGAAAAGTGGCAGCAGGTGCGGCGCCAATCGGGATGGAAGTAACACAACAATTCGAAGAGCTTTGGAATGGTAGAGTAAGAGTGCGGCAGGCTTGGGGGATGTCAGAGTAAGTGGTGGGGTTTGCAGGTCACACATACTTTTGCTGACGGGATTGTCACCAGGACCCCAGCAATCACTTTATGCTGGGACGAACGTGAGAGCTCGGGTCCGTCGTCGATATCAATTGGCGAGTTGGTTCCTGGTGCAGAAGCAATGGTGGTCAAGGAGAACGGCGAGGAAGAAACGCGGCCAGGCGAGACGGGAGAGTTCTGGATCCGCTCTCCGAACGCGATGAAGGGATATTGGCGCAATCCAAAAGCTACTGCCGAGACTATCAGCAACGGTTGGCTCAAGACTGGCGACATTGCATATCGAGACGAGACTGGAAAGTGGTACATGGTTGATCGGAAGAAGGTGAGTCGCATAAAACTCTCCGATGGTTGTCGTGTTTGCCAGTCTGTTAACTTGGACCAGGAGTTGATCAAAGTCAAGGGTGTCGCAGTGGCACCAGCAGAGCTCGAAGCTCTTCTTCTCGAACATCACGAGATTGTGGACGCTGCGGTGATTGGCATCAAGACGTATGTCGATAAGCGCGTATATGTCTAATTCTATGTACTGATGCTAGTCTCTCAGGGCGACGGATGATGAGCGACCACGCGCATACGTTGTGCTGGCACCAGGCTCGCGGCTTACTGAGAAGGATATCGTGGATTTTGTCAAGGCTCGTGTATCGACAATCAAACACCTGACAGGAGGTGCGGCCTTTGTTGATGCTATTCCTAAAAACCCGGTGAGTGAAGCAAACTAATACATCCGTCACATTGAGCCATGACAGTTACTGACCTCTCTTCCAGTCGGGAAAGATATTGCGGCGGCAGCTGAGAGAGATCGCCGCGAAGGAGACGGGGTCAAAAATGTAGCCACTCTATAGCGAGAAAAATTCCCGGAGGTCGGCGAGAGGTGAACGATAGATCTCTCGTTAAATTACACACAACCTACGCAGTTCAAGGCACTTTCAAAAATCACAGATGCGGCCCGCCTGGTGTCCCAAGGCCCAGAAATCTCATCACCTGTCCGAGATGATCAAATCCCCAGAAGAACTCCTGCTGTCCTTCTCCATTCACAGCCTTGATCCAGGGAAGCCCCGGAGATCCACTAGCGATGGCGGCTTCGGTGTTCTGTTTGAGGAGCGACTTGACTTCCTCAGTCGTGCTCTGTCGAACGAGTTATTCGGTATCCTTTGTCATGTCACAGCGCTGGCTTTGCATACCCTATTCAGGATCTTTGCGGCGACATCCTTGCCGACTACCTGAGTGAAAATCGGTGCGTGCACATCGGGCAGTTGAACCCCCTTTTTCTCACACCAAAATGCATGATACACGGCGCTTAGCACATCTGGGTATCGATTGGGGCATTCGAGGGAACATGCCACCAGGGCCCTCTGCACCTGTTTGAAGTATTAGTGCGTGGTGCTGGTCGTCAGCGAAGGATCGATAGCCAATCACCTTCAACGTGGTAACGTCGAATGGGTAGTTTGCCGGTAAGCCTGGGTTCCAAGGGATATCGAATTCTCGACACCATCTGGCGACGTCTGTGTGCAACCATTTCACCTTGTCTGAGTCCAAGTCAGGATCAGGCAACGCAGATGCTGGAGCGGGAATGGGGACAGGGGATTGACAGTCACATACTGGGACTGCTCCAGGGGGGCTTCAACCCGACAGCGTCTATATATGCCACAAGCAGCACGGGGGTATATGTCACGTCGCAAGGTTTGAAGACCGGGGAATTCTGGAAAAGTCATGTTAGTTCCAGTCAAGGATTGTTCTCCATACGTCCTCCCTCACAGGGCTTTGCGGAGGGATCAAATACCAACCTTGATGAGGTAAAAGGCCAAATATGAGTATGGGCTATGTAGGTCGAAATATAGCGTCAGCTTGGGCCTCGCCATTGCTCCCCGAAGCATAATCACTGTGTGGAATCAAGTAGCGAGCCTTGTGGGAATATCTTGTCCTAATATCATAATAAGGCTTACTAGGTTCTAGCCCAAATAGGTTTCCGCTTTCCGCACGACTGATACTAATACCGAGGTCGAGCAGCATCCGTCCAACGGCTCCGCGTCGCCTCCGCGTCGTCATCGTTTAGTGCTGGTTGCCACCTCCGTGTACGTGCTAACGAGCATTCCACCCCATAATTACCTCGAAAGCGAACAGAACCCCTGATTATTGGGCTCCAATTGCGCGCGATCCTTTTTCCTGCATCGTAGGTACGGAGACAGGAAAACTACTCCACCGGCCCAGAGACGCATCACACCCCGTGTCCTGGATGGCCACCGAGCTTGAGACAACGCATGCAAAGTACGTCAGCTTCCTCCCAGCGACCGTGGGTGAGAGCGATGGATCAGAGCGCGAGTCTCTACTGGCCATCGACCCGGCTGGATTCCTCATACGACACCCGCCAAAGCCACACGAGCTCGATGCCGACCTCACGGATGAATCCCAGCTTTTCCAGACCATCCATATGGGCGCTGCGGTGGTAGATGAGGGCAAGTGGAAGCTGGTAGTGGACGGCTTGGTCGAGCGACCGTTCTCCGTGTCCCTTGCGCAACTGAAAAGCATGCCATCTTCCACTGTCACCGCCTTTCATGAATGCTACGGCAGTCCCATTGCTCCTCCGATCCACGCGTTATGGAGGATTGGGAACGTCAAATGGACTGGTGTCAGGCTCGCGGATATGCTCAAACTGGCCCGGCCAAAGCCTAACGCAAGATTCGTGTGGTCGCAAGGACTAGAGTCCGGCTCGTTTGCCGGGGTTTCCGCGGATCGGTACGAAAAGGATCTTCCCCTGGAGAAGGCGCTGCGCTGCGAGGTTCTGATTGCCTATGAAATGAACGGCGAACCACTAGGCAAGAATCGAGGCGGACCGGTGAGAATGGTGGTACCAGGGTATTTTGGCACCAATAGCACAAAATGGTTGTGTCGGCTCTCACTACAAGACCATCGCGCCGTGGGGCCGTTCACCACGACATTCTATAATGAGATCGACCCGACCGACCCGCAGGGACAGAAGACACGACCCGTGTGGGTGGTTGAGCCCAATTCCATGATCGTTAGGCCTGAGCCCGGGGCGGTGTTGCAAGGACCAGACATTGCGATCCGAGGCCGTGCATGGGGGTGCGAGGAGATCAGCCGGGTTGATGTCAGCGTCGACGGCGGTGCATGCTGGCTACCACAGACAGATGTCACATTAGCAGCACGGAATGAATTTGAATGGCAATCGTTTCAGGCAAAGGTCTCAATCCCCAGCCCTGGGAAGTACAAGTTGATGGCGAGAGCGACGGACACGGCCGGCAATTCTCAGCCCATAACGGGAAGAAGAAATCATGTGCACACGGTCGAGATTGAGATTGTTTGATTAGTTGCGCTGATTCAGTCCAATTACTTGGACAAACACAAGATAGAGGGGAGAAAAGGGGAAGGGGTCAGCCTTGCGCTTTGCTGTGATACGAGCCTTGCTGCCTCGGTGCGGACATTATTATATCGGCTGACCTTCCCTTGACCAGCTGGCTCACTTTCAGCCTCATCATTCTCACTTCGTGACTTCCTCCCCGCAGTCTGCCTTTCTTGGTGCTTGCCTACCTGTGTCTGCGTCCAGCGCCGCACTTCCAACAGCTTGCGGCAACCGAGGAAGTCAAGATGTACCACTGCAGTTTCGCGACGCCTCTCCGATGATGCCAGGCCATCAGCAGGCTCCGCAAGTTTCCGTCGCAAATGAGGACAGCCATGGCGAACGGCACGATAGTGTCGAGACGCAACCACGCACCAATGGCTTGAAGCCGAAAGCTTGCAACAATTGCAGACAGCAAAAGGTGGGCGTCAGCGTTTTGTGCCTTTCCGAGACCACTAACTAACCTCTCCAGCTGAGGTGCGAGTTGACCAAGCTCGACACTCCGTCGTCCAATGCATGTTCGCGTTGTCAAAGGCTGGAGCTTGAGTGCAGAGTAGACGATACGTTCAAGAGGACGAGGAAGCGGAAGTAAGACTGGCAAGAGTGGGAATTTACAACGGTCAATCACTAACCCTCGTCCTCCTGGCAGGGTTTCCACCGAGTTGGAAGAAGAAATAAACAAGCTCAAGCGCCAATTGTCTGTCTATGAAGGCGCAGGTCTCCGGGATGTGACTGTTCCCGCTGTCAGAGACCCTGCAGCGCGGACCCTTACTGAGGGTGACGGTCCTCCTGCTGCTAGAGATAGACAGGCTTCCAGAGACCTACCGGACCCTTTGACGAACCGAATATTCTCGACCACCGTCCCTGGTGGTATATCGCCAGACTCTCCCGATGGAACGTGCCTGCCAGGAACAACCACGATCCCCCAAAACAGTTTGCTCGAGAGTGGCTCCACTGGCAAGGGAAAGGTGGCTGCGTCGCGGACTTTACGCGATATTGAGCTCCCAGCGGATGTGATTAATGACCTGTTCCGCATGTATGTCTCTTTTGCTGCTTCAGGACCATGGACTAATACCCGTCACCCTCCAAGATATTTCTCGCAATACCATGCATATCTACCGTTTCTTGACCCTGGGGTTTCTCCCACTCAATACTACGATAATTCGACTCTTCTCTTCTGGTCCATAATTTCTGTTGCCTCTCGTCGGTACCTGATAGACCCCACCCTCTTGACGAGGCTCGCTCGAGCAGTGACAGATCTTTTGTGGAAGTCTCTGCAGATAGTTCCACAGTCCTTGGGTGTTGTCCAGAGCTTGGTCCTTTTATGCACCTGGCCGTTTCCGACGAGCAGCAGCACCACCGACCCGACTTACATGCTCTCTGGGATGATAATACAGCTTAGCATCCAGATGGGCCTCCATCGTCCCCGGAGCCCGCTTGATTTCACAAAGTTCCGCGTCAAGCTCAGTCCTCGCGATATCGAGGACCGACGAAGGACTTGGATTGCTGGCAATGTTGTCACGCAGAGGTATGTCATGGGCGTTGACGTGTCCTGATGAGGAGCGGCTGATGATGTGTCGTAGCATAAGCTTCGGTGTTGGACTCCCAACTCCGGCGCAGCTTTGTGACTGGTCGATCCTCGCGTCCTCGCTCGACGGCTCGCGGATAGATGAAGATTTGCACGCTCAGCTGAAATGTGCCTTGACGTGTAATAGGGTATCTCAAGCTCTGACCTCGAGTGTTTCCGACTCTGCTGGGCTGTTACCGACTCGGGAGCGGATTCCTCTATACACGATTCTGAAGCAGGAGATTGTCGACCTAGAGAACAGCAGGGAGTGGACTCGAGGTGAGCACATACATGACTGGTTGTTGCCCGTGAGTCAATACACTGAGCCTGCTGACTGTGCGTTCAGCGACTACTGCATTCTATCTCCACATCGTCAAGCTCCACCTTCACGCGTTTTGCCTTCTCGACGATCCCTCAGCTTCGGGCTATCTAGAGCGGATCGTAACGCTCTACTCGGCCGCGACCGCCATGATCGAGCACGTTCGCGACCTGGACAGCCAATCTCGGGATTTCTTACAATTCTGCCCTGTATTTTACTACGAAGTCCTCCTCTGCGCCGCCTTGGTTTTACTAAAGGTCATAAAGAACGATTACTTTGCTGCGATAATTGATGTCGATTCGGGCAAAAAGCTCATCACTTTTTCAGTTTCAGCACTGAGGAAAATGTCGGTGGCCAATAATGACCTCCCCGGGAGACTGAGCGATGTACTCGCCTATCTCTGGACGCACCCGAATCCGTCTATCCTGGGCGGAAGCGGGGTGGACAGACTTCAGTTGGAAGTCAGAAGTCGAATGAGCATGAGCGTCGTATACGACTCATTGTGGAGGTGGCGGGAGCAATTTCGGACCGAAGTCGAAGGCGCCGAGTCGCAAGATCTCAACAACGGTAATGTTACCACCTCTGATTGGAAGAATTCAAAGGCTGATTCCACACAGATGCGACTGCAACTACCGGCGTCAATGAGGGCTTTGACAGCGCATTTGACCTGACCGAGCTGAATGGCATCTACTGGGAAGATCTCCAACTGGACTGGTTCTCGTGAGCATCGTATTACTATGAGTAGTCAGCGATCGAAGTCGGCCGTCTAGCGCTCTCTTACAAGTCTCGAGCACAGCGAACTTTGAAGGCCTATGATCGAATGCATTTGCTGAACGCCTGATGTTCACCCGAAGATATTCCCGCAGGGCCACCTTCCCTAGCGGCTAGGTATATTGGTTACATGGATTACAAGCTGCTGATGCTCCACGAGGTAGGTTCAGAGTAGCGAATTGTTTACATTTCTGGTCTATTTATTTGCCTAACTCCGGACAGCTGCCACTGATCAATCTGATCTTGGACACAACATCATGTCAGCTATGCCATGCATGACTTTCTCTCTGTATCAAACGGACCGTTACCAGGAACAGCCACGGAAAAGATAACAACGCCCCTAAACCTTGCTATACAAGCTGCCACCTGCCGCCGTGTCGATTGCTGTGGCTCGTTCCAGGCCCACGGTAGAAAACAGTTTCTTTGGGGTGAAATCAGTAGGCACTCCGGTGCGACCAGTCTTTTTGAAATTTTGAAAGTTCTCACGTATAGCATAATACGCGGGCGCCAGCGCGAGGAACGGGGTGATCATGATGCGAAATCCGAGCTTCTGTGCTTCCTCGGCCGTCCACGACGGTGTAGCGGCGTGGTCGACCATGTTTAGCAGGACAGGAGTGGGCGCGAGGACCTGACATATTGTCCTCGCCTCCTCGTCGGAGGTGATACCTTCAAGGAACGCGACGTCGGCTCCGGCGTTGATGGCAGCCTTGAGCCGGCGGGTCGCCTCGTCGAAACCATGCGTTTGCAGGGCATCGGTTCGAGCAATGATGACGATGTCGGAGCCGATCCTCTCCCGTGCCTGTGCCGCAGCGGCGATGCGTTGCGCAAAGATGTCGACGCTGACGACCTCCTTGCCCGCAAGATGACCACAGCGCTTCGTCTGGATCTGGTCCTCGATGTGCAACCCCGCGACGCCAGAGCGATGATATTGCTCGACCGTGCGAGCGACGTTGTTGGGACCGCCGTACCCGGTGTCGGCGTCGGCGATGAGAGGGACGGTCGGGTCGAGGTTCGCCAGCATTTCGGCGTGCTCGCGCATGTCGTTGAGGGTTGCGAGACCCAGGTCGGGTTGTCCGAGTCTTGAAGCACAGGTTCCCGCTCCAGTCTGGATTTACACAGAAGTTAGCAATGACAACAGCAACAGCAATCACGACGTGGAAGTCATCAAGGTGTGAAGCCCTGGGTGTCCATACCATGTAGAGACAATCAAATCCGACCTCGAGCGCAATCCTCGCGCTGAACCCGTCATACACGCCAGGAGCCATGACTATATCGCGACCAGGCTCTAGCAATTGTCGCAGTCGACGACCTGGCGTCAGGGGCGGCTGTCCTCCAGTGGTATGTCCATTCATCGTGGCGTCTGTACTCTCTGTCGCGTTGGGAATTGATTGAATCCGGGTACAAAAAAGCAAGCAAGAGAGTAAGTAAGTAAGTACTTGCTTTGCTTGTTATTCCGAATAGGAAAAGAAATAGTAGTTGGTATTTAGTTGCAGCAGTCGGAAGTTAAGTACTCTCAGCTGCGACTCTTTTTCTTCGTGAAGGGGGGTTTGTTTGTCCTTGTTTATACGAATCCCGATTGCACGGCTTTTTTTTTCGTGGACAAGACTCGAATTTTATCCCTTTTATATTTATACGTTAGTGTAGATACACTCACTGTCTGTAGAATGACAATGGAAAGGTCACACGGTATATAGTGTGGTACCTAGTAGTGCGTAGTGTGTAGTGTTGTACGGTATTCTACTTCCCCCCCTCACCTATCCGCCCTCTCTTTGTTCGTGGCAGGCGAAGGAGGGACTCTTGCTAGTTGGTCTACCGAGTTACTTCCCCTTCGGAAGCAGTGACACCAAAAAGTCCGATCATCTTGGGTTGGGGAGAGCGAGATCGCAAATACCGTTGCGCGGCCAACTCTTTTTCTGTTTGCCTCCCCCTTCCTTCTATTGGAGTTTCCCAAACCTCCGCATCGGAGACAGAGTGGCAGGCACGGCAGGCTGGCAAGGTTCTTTGTGGTGGGGGAGGTGGGGGGGATGACGGGGGCCGCCGATCGGAGAGGCCGAGTTCGGGCCCATGGGAATTCATTCATCTCACCCATGTCCGACAGTACAATATCCTAATCCTCAGATGGGGAACCAAGTTGGTGGTCAAAACGCCATCCTTTTGCTTAGCTGCTGGCATTAGCTAGCTATGTTCAAAAGCAAAAGTGAGGTCTTCTAAGTTCTGTATGTCCACGCCACCCTAGACCGTGCCACGCCACGATGATGATGAATAAAGAGTATCTGGAGTCTGGACAAGATACTCGACACTCAGTACATACTACAGCTGCAAATAAACGCCTTCTGGAAGATGCACCTACGCCCGAGATACCGTCCCCGTCTTCCATCAAACGGAAGTAGGTGCGGCCAAGTCTCTCGATGGAGGGAGGTGTGGATGATTGGTACTGTCTACACTATTTGCACAAACAGGCAGTTCCTATAACCCTCCGCCAATGCTCCCAGGGATCTTTTGGCAAGGCTGACCGCGGTCCAGCTCCCAGGCGTTAGGCATCGCAGCACTACAGCATTTTCTACTACTCAGTATCTTCATCCTTAAATCCAGTCATACCTGCTGTCTAGGCATAATGAACGCAAGAATGCGAGACTCGTGGACCCTCTCGCGGGGAGAGAATGGCAGAGCTGGGACTTTAATGAGATGACTAGTATTAGTAGTGTATGGAAGACGATGTCCAAGCAGGGTAGTAGGAAGGGGCATCTCGACCGCAGATGAGGCTCGGTTTCCCCACCTAGAACCAGAAGCCATCCGTACCAGCCTCCAACAGTGGTCGCCTGTGAGCTGCACCAAGGTTGCGATGGCGCTTGTCTTCTTGGTCCTGAACCGACGGCCGGTTTCTGGTCTGGCCGACGTAACCTGGCAAATACCGATGCGTGCCTAACCCAAGCCTTATTCTATAGTCTTTGTTTGTGTCTGCAAAGACAAGGAGGCTGTTACGGTTTCCACTGGGGACCTGTCATGGTCCAACTTTTGGCAGAGCGATATCAAGTTTCCACCATGGCCTCCTCGGTCGGTGAGTCATGAGTTCTAGCACTGACTGACTACTACTCGGAAAGACTATGGCCTCGCGATCAGCCACCCGTCCTCATGGCGGACAATAACATCGCAACCACAGCATCATGTCCAGGCAGAATCCCAGGTACTTCGAATGTAGAGGGGCTTATTAACTGTCATATATTGCTGTAAACGTTCTCGGCACCAGCGGTCCCAGGAAGCTGACTAATACGCAAAGGTTCGCCATTCCATCCACGCAAACTTACCCACTAACTTGGCCTTTTTTTTCACAGGTTGATAAATTTGCCATACGAATTCCCTATCACAAATCAGCGTCGTCTTAGCTCAGTTGGGAGAGCGTCGTAAGTGACCAACTGCCGCGTCGACACAGGCACAGACAACTAACTCTCAACAGAGACTGAAGTTCCAACTTGCGGTCATTAAATCTGAAGGTCGTGTGTTCAATCCACACAGACGACATTCCTTTTTTTTTCTACTTGGATAGTAGTAGTAGTACTCACTATCCCCCCAAAGTTTTTTTCCCTTTTTGCTTGGCACTCTCTCAGGAATGGATTCTTCGGAGTTAAGATTTTACAGACAATAATAGCCTTGGTTCCTTGCCTGGCCTACCTTTGACCGTTGCAATGCCTACTCACTCATAGTACTTTCTGTCTGCCTGCCTGGCCCAAGCACACTTCTGGATCTCTGTCATTGTCGACGAGCATTTTGATCGTGTTCAAGTGGCCATATGCGGCGACGAGGTGTCAACGGAACAAGCCCCAGGTAGCTAGCTCCTTGTGACATTTGCATCGTGCGCGAGTAGATACTTGCAAGTTTTTCAAATTTCCCGCAGCGGGCGTGACGTGCAATGGCGTCCATCCGGCGCTGGTGCGATCGTTTACAGAGGCCTTTCCCGAAGAAAATAGTTTTTCTAAGGGCTGGTATATTGTTTGAAGCTGCGTGAAACATCACGTCGGCCATCGGGCGGGACGGCGACAGGGAATGAGAGACGAGGTTCAAGGGAGTGCCACCCTCGTTGAATCGCGCGTAATAGTCCAACCGCTAAACTACAGCATGTCGAGCCAACCACCACGAAACTGGCACAAGGTCAATCAATACTGACAACCAAATCACAACCCACCAAGGTGATGAGCAAACTGCGGTATACTCGTCAAGCCGCCTGCATAACTGGCACCTGGCCAACATTTATCATTACTCGCGATCCGCTCTTTTGACGAGATTATTACTGGTTGCTATTTCATTTCTACGGCATGTGATAGCTACTCGAGCGACTAGGCTCACTCATGTCCCGTCTATGGCCAGGGAGTCATTGACAAAAAAAACCGGCTTGCTTTCAAGCCATGATACCAGGCGCTTCAGTCACTGGCACACCGCCACAGACCGTTGTCCCTGCCAAACGACCCTCTCGGAATTCCCGGTTCATCTCGGCCATGGTGCACCACTCGACGCCGCTATGACCGTTGATGTAGTTGATCAACCTCTCGTGCATGAGCATGATGTGCGCCTTGCCGCTGACCTGCGGGTGGATCGAGATTGGGAAGATGAACTGGTCATACTCACGGTAGTAGTAGTCGAACTGGTCCTTCCACATGCGCTCCACCACGTAGGGGTCGACGAACCCGTGGGTACTGGCTTGCTTGAGGTTCAGTTGGAAGGGTGGCCAATCATCCAGGTGCCAGTTGGCGGGGATCTCGACGATTGAACTCGGCTTCAGCTCCGACATGCCTTCCATCCAGGTTGACGGTGTGACCGGGTCTCCGTCTCCATCTCTGTCGGCCGCCATCATGGTCGTCTCCTTCCAGGTCGGCGTGTACGGCAACCAGTATGGGAGAGCGTCGTGGTACATGAAGCTGTGGTCGTACTCGAGCCCAAACTCCTCCAGAAGCTGCACTGTTTGACGCGAGGCTTCGAAGCCCGGCGCCGTCCATCCCTTTGGCTTCCTGCCGCATAATTGCGTCAAGACTTTGATCGACTCTCGAAGCACTTCTCGTTGCTGGTCCTCCCCGAGTGTCGTCACATACTCGTGCGTCCATCCGTGGAGCGCTCTATAGAGACGTTGTCAATCAATGACCGGGCCGGAAATGGCACTTCAAACGAAGAGAGAACGTGAATCTCACATTTCATGTCCAGCGTCTCGGACCTTTCGCACCGCCTCAGGGAACGAGACAGCCGTATGTGCCGGAACGAACCAGGTGGTCCTGATATTATACTTCTCCCACAACTGCAGGAGACGATCCGTGCCACAAGTCGCCCCGAAGACTCCGCGCGAGACATCTGTCGGTGATGCGGGCGATCCATTTCTGGTATTGATCCTGAAATTCATCGAATCAGACTCGAGATCGTTCAAGCGGGGGGTTTTTTTAAGCCTACCAGCCGCTGATGGCGTCCAGGTCGATCCCATATCCTACCAGAACGCGCTTCATGACTGTAAACAACACTGTCTATAGATGGCAGTCGGAATTATCCGCCGTCCGGATGAGCTACATGAGAAGGGGGGCTTTGCCACCTAAATATTCTTCCTGGGAGCTCTTTATAGGGTTTGACTTGAGGGCGCCATGGATGTTGGATAGTGGGTCTTTATCGGTACCTCGTCCCTCGGGGAAGGACGAAAATCGCCGAAGTAAGAGTAATCCAGTCCTGTTTATCACTTCAAAGATACAGCCACAATTAATTTGTGCGGTCGAGGCTTTGTACATTGGGTTTTTTCAAGCCAGTTCGCCCACTCGAATTCCCAGCCTCCCCAGCGAGTCCACACAACCCTCGAGACATGCTCAGCTGGTGTTTTTCTTCGTAGTACCCTTTGGAAGACATGGCTCCGCCGCCTGATTAACATCTGATGGTCGTCTTGCCCAGTAATTGAGACCTCTCAGTTGATCTCTATTGACCCCGTTGATAGGATTACCCGACCCAAAGAAGAATTCCTCCAGATCGCGGAGCTGTTGGCACTCGATATTTCTCCAACTGGACCGACTACACGTGCCCACATGAGGCAATACCGTGACCATGTAATTGTCCAGTAGTCGGGAGTTGATGTTGGGCTCGTCCTCGTGGACGTCGAGCCCGACACCCGTCACCTTGCCGTCTTCCATGGCCTTGAGCAGCGCCGCCTCATCGATCAGGGGACCACGGCCGACATTCACGACGCGTACACCGATCGGTTTCGCCAGGTTAAATTCTTCCGTGGATAGCATGTGGCGCATTTCCGGGGTGCACCCGCAAGCCAGGCAGATGCAGTCGGCCGCCCTCAGCAGCGAGTGGATGGATTCGTGATAGACAGCCCGGTGACCCGGCCCGACCATCTCGTCCTGGTCACTCAGCCGCCGGCGGTTGTGATAATGGATTTTCATGCCCAAGGCCGCTGCCGCCTTGGTTGCAATCACCCGCCCGATCGATCCCATGCCGACAATCCCCAGCACCTGACCTGCAGGATCCTGGGCGACAGAACCCAGCATCCGGCTCCTCTGCCAGCCGCCCGTCGTCACGGTGCGAGCGCATCTCTCGGCAAACGAGAGATATCGGAACACGTTGAGGATCAACGCGACTCCCACATTCGCCGTCGCCTCGGTGCACGCGTTCGGCGTGTTGCAGAAGAGGATGCCGCGCTCGCTCATTCGGTCTACATCCGCATGGTCGTAACCGTGTCCCGAACAACTGATCAGCTTCAGCGTGTTCGGCATCAGCTCCAGCGGCTCCCCACGCAGGAGCTGTTCGGATTGTGCGGCATACGGTCCGGCCTTCAGCCAGCCGGTCCAGACGAGCGCTTCTATTCGCGTGTAGGGATGATTGGGCGTTTTGAGACGTGAAATGAACTCGGCCACCGTAGAGCAGTCGTACTCGAGCACCTCAAATCTCTGCGCGATCCCGGCCCACTTGGTCGCATCTTGGGCGCCCGTGGAAGAGTGGATGAACAATACAGTTGGCTTTTCGATATTCATTGAGGACGCCGCAGCTGGTGGGAATTTTGAACCCATTGGATGGGCATGATAAGGCACTTTTACAGACGAGAAAAGAGGGGGAGAGAGAGAGAGACCTCGTTCATCTCTCCATCTCTGCGGCACTTTTTGATTGTAATCGAGGTTGTTCGGAGGTCTATCAAAACCCGGCGTCCTTCAGGCTGTTTACTCTGTGACCCGCCTGCGTCGACTTCATCCGATGCCGTTAGATTAGACGAGAGGGTGGAGCTTCGTGTGACATCGGGTTTCGGCCACGGAATTCGGGGCACCGGAAACGAATGACCTTACACCGATCAGTTTCGTGGAGCAGTCCACGGACAAGGGGGGCGTTAGCGGCTAAGTTCGTTCTTATGCCGATTTATTCTGCCTTTTCTTCGTCTTCGTGGCTATTGACACACACGTAGCCGCTTCAATTGGCCAGTGTCGGTCGACGAGGTCACTCGCAATGAAGGTCTTCGTACTTGGAAAGCATGGTGCTATTTTTTACCTGGAACCGTCGGATAAGCTACTCGACACCAGGATTGATAAAATCTCCAGGTCATTGTTGGAAGAAAACCTCGGGACCACCACTACTTGGGTATTTTGACTTGGACGAGAAGAGGAGAAAAAAAGGGGCCCCTTCACTCGTTGGTCAGAAGCTCATCTCTATCTTTTCATCCTCCTGGCACGGTCTCCCCACTCTCACTACGGCCCGTCGTGCCTTCAAATCCATGATGATGTTGAACAAAGTGGCACTGTGACTGCCCTGGCTGGGGTTGGGGGACCGACAAATCGCTGCGGGCCAGTTGTCTTCGTCCTCGAAAATCGACTCCACCTCCCTCCACGTCGGTTCTCGACAGTCAGCGCCGGCAGAGGCCTCTCTGACGAGATTGGAAATAAGCTCGTCCGTCAGTACACGGATGCGCTCGAGGCGGTGTTCGGAATCTGGTAGCCATTTCGGCTCTGTGACGCCAGGATGGACACCGAGCAGATGGTTTGTGTGGAGTATCCGTCCTCGGTCATCCGTGTTGAGCCCTGAGACGGTGGTAGCTGTCACTTCCAAGCCGGTTGCGTCTTCCGAGTCGGCGATGAGGAGGTGGGCCGAACTAGCCATCCCGTGAGCTTGCAGTAACTGGACCGCGGCCCGTGCGGACGTCTGTTCGAGAGCGATGCGCAGACCTAGGTGGATTGGAATGCCAGCCGTGGACACGCCGGACGCCCGGATCGCATTCAGACAGACTCCGACACCACAGGAGTTCAAACCAATCTTGCCGATGATGCCTGCTTCGGTAATCATTTTGATAATGGGCTGTCCAGGTTGGATGATGCTCAACTGAATCAGGTTTTGCTTTTGGTCTTCCATCCACTGCACCCGTCAAGCATGGGACACGGGTCAGCGAAACCCCAAAGTTTGAGTGTTGGTGTTCTCCGCGAGGTCCCACATACATCCCAGTTCTGAGCAAGAAACGTATTGCCCTTCGTCCTCCAGTAGAGGCTTGTACATCCGTCGCTGAAGAGCCCGAAAGCGATCTCGGTCCGCACATTCAGCGCGATTACGTCGAGTAAGTCGAGCTGACTTCCACTGGCGATCCCTTTGGTCACATGGCGATCAGTCTGCTGCAACTCGGCTTGTTCTGCCACGGCGGTCTTGGTCTTGGAACTGGGGGTTTCATTTCCATACCTCGCATCTCTTCATGGTACTGAGGCCATCGTCGACTGATCTCGACGCCGAACTCACGGGCAACCTCCCGTACTTGGGGCCACTGACGTTTACTATAACGGACAAACAGACCAGAGTAAAAGTCGACGGAGCGTGCAATTGCATGTCTGGCGGCGTGCCCATGGTCATATCCAACCTGAACGAAATGGTCAGTATCCAGCTAAAGTGACGGTGAGCTGGTATCAAACTTTACACACCTCATAAGGGGTGCCACTGCATTCGACGGTAAGCATCTCAACAGTCGCTAGATCCAGACGTGAGCGTGTGGCAGCATTAGATGACACCGTACCAACATTTCTGCTCGGCGAGCTTGCAATAATAATAGCACATTGAGACGGGAGGCGGGGGCGCTTACCATCAGGCTATCAGCCCCAACACGCATTGCGCACTCGCATGAGCATATCTCGGCACAGGGACTGCTTAGGCCGAATCTCTGTACTGTGACTAAAGCCAGACGTTAAGAAAGAACAGGGTGTATAATTTGGTTGTTGGGGAGGGATTGCACCTCCGCGTCATTGGCCCAGATGCGCCTTCGCAGAAATCTGAGATCAATCGTCTCTGGTCAGTGGTTCATTTCCGTACAGGTCCTGGTTCTGCGTATCCCATTCGAAAACCCATTGTGGAGGTGAGATAGAACTACCGCCAATCGCCCCGAGACCTTCAATTGTCGCTGGCCATTGTAAATCCGAGTAAGCGAGAAAATTTTGGAGGAAGGGATCGTCGAGCGCAGACCCAGTAATCAGTGCGTTTGAAGTCGCGTTGGCATCCTGACACAGGCCGTCCCCCACGGGTGCTGGCAAAGCGGTCGGGAGAGACTCGACTGCCACATCTGTTTCCAGTCCGTCCTGCATCAGATCCAGACCTTCTCCCGGTTGTCGCAAGCTTTTTGTCTGAAAGGCGGTTATTGTTGTTTGCAGTTGCATGAGGTGGCCGTAATATCTGTAGGCCGGTAGATTGCCCTCCTCTGAGATGGTTTTCAATAGATAAATCGCCGTGCTCACAGCCTCGGAATCAGACGTGTCGGGCCGCAACAGTGTTTCAATGAGCAGGACCAAGGTCGACGAAAAGAGGTACTGCGCGTCGAAAAACCCGAATGTGGCAAGCGAGCCATCGACCCAAAGCTGGTCGAGAATTTGATTCGAGCTTCGCGCGGCATGAACACACGCCTCAGCTAGGGCGGTGGTGATGGTCGATATAGGTGGTGGTGGCTCACCATTTAGTCCCTCGAAGTTGGAATGGAGCTTTGATTTCAAGGCGTAAAACAAGATCGGCCGAGTCGTAAGTATGACACACTTTTTTTTGGGAGTCAATATACATGGGAAGGATCATCTCTAGATCTACTACTCCAGGGACTGCATACCTGATTGAAACAAAGATGAAGGGACGCCACATGCCTGGCCGTGTACCTGCGAGTTGGGTCCTGCTGTAGCCGAATTACCTCGGGGAGGGTTTCGGCCCATGACCTCAATCTGCGTAAGATTTTTTGCACGCTTTGAACGAAGACCTGGCGGCGGCAGTTTTTGTTGTAGATATGGTTCATAATATCTCCTGTGATCCTCGCTAGATGCACATTGGCGATAAGGTGCTCGGGCTCGGAGAACTCGGCCATTTCTGCAGCGCTGAGACCCTTCATGGATGGCATGGCAACATCAATGTCGTCGTCTCGTATCATGATGGGATGCCCTAGTTTGGAACTCCAAATGCGGTCAAAGATGTAGACCGTCCACCAGACTCGGATGCGGCGTTCTCGCTCGATCGGACTGAACATTTGATTTTGAGGGACGTTGTGATGGAGACCCAGCGTTAGACTCAACCGTAGTGCGGTTCCAGCGTAGACGTATGCCGAATTTGCTCTGTTCAAGGCTAGAGAGTAGATGGACTGGGCAAATATGTTAGCCGGACTTGGGATGCCCAAGGTCTCGAGTGCGTCCACGGGAGACCAGTCAGAATCTGTCTCTATACGACTTACGATTAGGAGCAGGGCTTCGATGTAGGACACGGTGGCTTCCTCACGAATCTCTTGAAAGAGACTCATGGCACGGACAAAGAACCACAGACCAGGCACGTTTGGCGCGCCTTGAACCTTTTGGCTCTCTTTTGCTTTGTTGGTGTACAGCTCCCCCAGAGCGAAAATGGTAAAGAGACGGCATGCCAGAAGGGGATCCTGCTCTATGGTGAGCCGACCGACATAGAGTTGGTTGAGCTGTTCCAAGATTTGCTTCCTCATCATCAAGTGATAGTCCAGCCCCACGAGACGAATGGCCACACGGATGAGGAACACGGCATGAGCACGCGGTGGAAGCGTGTATTCGGTGAAAATATTCTGTGATAGCACTTCGTCACCCACCAGGCGCGCCCGCGGAATGGGCGAAGGAGAGGTGTTACGGTCGAGGTACTGGTACAACCGGGTGCCGAAGGCAGTGCATGATGCCTCCCCGACATAGGCTGCCTGCGACGAGGTAGAATCATGCACGAACCAGGCACGATCCTCGACCAATGGATTCGATATTACCACGTCGGCATTGCCGGGGCTTTCCAACTCCTGTTGCTGCTCATGGTCGTCGTGATTCTGCGTGGGTGCGATATGTTTGGATGGTGGGACGTTGATGCTGGTTGTGTCGCCAGCGGCCGCATGCCGGCGGACTGCTGCTTTCAATCTCGCATTCTCTTCCTCCAGCCGACTTATCTGGCTGAGATGGCATCTTTTTTAGCGGTCCCGAACCAAAGAAGGCGCCTGTCATGTGGCAGCAAATTGCAAACAAACCTTTCATGTACGAGGATCTTCCGATCTTTCGTGGGGTACACGCATGACACGGCAGTTTTGGACTGCTCGCAATTCCGACAAGGCTGCTCGCGTGAGCATTTGATCTTGTGAGAATGGCAGCGTACGCAGCTAGAGGTTGAGTTAGATGATCAAGTCCCACGTTGTTGATTATTATGCTTGGAGAGAATGCTACGCACGCTCCATCACGTCTCACTCTCTTTGCGACTGGTATTGTGACAGCGTCATCATTCGGAGATCGAGATCGAGATCGAGATATATCCTGAGTATTGATATTGCTCATCCTGCTGGGGGTTGGTTCTTCAGTCAACGAGGTAACTACTAAGACCCTTTGCTTGTAGCATTTCTGATAAAACAGCTGCCCGAAGAGATTGTCCGCCCATCCAGTCCCATTCAAGGGGCTCGACCACAGATGGTTTAGGGCTCGATGGCGTGCAGCAAAACAGTAGAGAAGGAGTGCCCTTTCACCCCAGGATCAAGGCTGTTCCGGCTTATCTGATGGTTATCCCGAGCATCCGGAAGTAGTGAGCGTCTCTATTACATAATCTCCGAGGTTAATCTAACTAATGACTTTTGGCCGACTTGGAATCTTGGATTGATAAGACATCAACCAATCATTGACCGGCTAATGCGCCACAAGATTTCATGCATCTTTCCAATGCATATCAACAGACTTTACAAACATCTCGATCGGGCCAACAGCGTCCGTACGATCAGAGTTTGGGACTAGGTGACGTCGAAACTAGCGACCTTTCGATGTTCGCAAGTGAGTCCATTGCCGCACGAACTCCAGCTTTGACCTCTTCGCTGGGTTTTTGGTATGGGCGTCGAGGCAAGAGCTTTTCTTCACATTCTGTGATACCGGCCGCCGGCGCCGAGTATGTAGCCACGGCGTATTTGGTGGCAGCGATCCCGGACTTGATTGGGCTTTCCGCCAAAGCCGCCCTCTGGTGTAGCTTCAGAGCTTCACGAATCCTGCCGTGACTGTAGAGCTGATGGATTCGACAAATGGTTTTGGGAAACACATTCGCAAACGCGGCGATACACCCACTCGAGCCGACTCCGAGACCACCGAGCAAGAAATCCGACTGGCCACCGAACGTAGCAAAGTCACAAGAAGGGAGGCTCGCTGCCAGGCGAACGATTTTGGCTACGCTGCCGCAGGTCAATTTGACGCCCACGATCTTTCCCGGATTCCGCTTGACGATTTTGGTGATCAGCTCCGAGTCCAGATCTACGCCATTGCAAACTCCCGGAAAATTGTATATGACAATAGGCAGAGGAGACTCTCGAGCAACTTGGTCGTAAAAGTCCACAACAACCGCTGGCGTGGTTGCTTTTCCAAAGTAGGCTGCAGGAAGAAGCAGCGCATAGTTGGCCCCGGCTTGAGCTGCGTCGTCTATCAACTGCAATACCTGACGCGTCGAGTGGGATCCAACACCGGCCATGATTGGAAAGTTCGGCCCGGTCGCCGCCCGCGCTGTTTGGATGAGCTGGAATCGTTCTTCTCTCGTCAAGAGAAAGGCTTCGGCATTCGTGCCGAGAATGACAAGGCCGGCGAGACCGGTCGTACTCAGGTACTCGTAATACTTGGACTGCGCTTCGAGATCGAGGTCCTCCGTGACAGGATTGAAGAATGTCACAGCTGGGCACCAAATCCCAGAAGGTGGTACTGAGCTGGCAGAGATAGAGGCCATCGTTGTGTCCCCCAAGAGCTTGTTTCACGAGTGCCAGGTGACAAGCTAGGGCCTCTCCAAGTGGTATGCTGGACCTGCAACAGGACGCACACGGATTCTTAAAGTCACCGATGCGTACCAAGGTCTGTCAGGCTTCGGTTTCTGAGAATTTCCCCCTCGGCATTTCGTGCTCGAAGACCGAGTGAAGTTGGCGAAGACGATATGGAAGCTCGCTCGAGGCAATATCAGACAAGAGCACAGTCGAATACCAGTGACCTCGACCTTGACCTTAACTATACGCTCCTCTCTTACACGCTTTCTACTTTCCAGCCTTCCAGAACGACCAACCGGATTATAGATGGCAACCAGATCGATCGGATCGCTGTTTTCAGCAGTTCCGCTGGCGCCGTCAGATGCCGCATTCGCCCTGACGACAGCCTACAATGCGGACACATCCCCCAACAAAGTCAGTCTAGGCTCTGGAGTGTACAGAGATGACAATGGTAAGCCGTGGGTCTTGCCTGTCGTCAAGAAGGTCAGCAGTCCTCCTAGCCGTTCGAATTTCAGACCACATTCGTCTACTAATTCGGAACAGGCCAAGTCGAGACTTGACGCCGATCCAACGGTGAACCACGAGTACCTTCCCATTGTCGGTCACGCCGAGTTCATCACAGCCGCGCAATCGCTCGTTTTTGGTACAGATGATGAAAGCATATGCTCCCGCATTGCTTCGGTCCAGTGCATTTCGGGGACGGGCGCAAATCACCTCGGGGCCAGATTCTTCGCCGACACGACCCAACCGAAGCAAGTCTGGATCTCGGACCCGACATGGGACAATCATCACCTGATCTGGACTCTGGTAGATGACAAGATTCAACAGAGAGTCTACCCCTACTATGAAAATACCTCGAGGTCTTTGGACTTTGACGGTATGGTGGACGTGATACAGAGGGAAGCCATGGCCGGAGATGTCATTATTCTTCACGCTTGCGCCCACAACCCTACCGGCATCGATCCCTCACTAGAACAATGGAAGGCAATTGCGGGCCTCTGTGAGACCAAGAAGTTGTTACCCTTCTTCGACTGTGCTTAGTGAGTCGATATCCACGGCCTCTACTCGCGCGCCATCAGAGTCTGACAGAAACACACACAAAGTCAAGGGTTCGCTACCGGTTCTCTCGATGAAGATGCCTGGCCGATTAGGCACTTTCTTTCCAGACAGACGCTGGAATTTGGCGTCGCACAATCATTCGCCAAGAACTTGGGTCTGTATGGGGAGCGAGTGGGCGCATTCCACCTGGTCACGTCGACGGCGGCTGATTCGGTAACGAACATCCGCTCTCAACTCGCACGGCTTTCGCGGGGCGAGATATCAACACCTCCTGTCTATGGGGCGCGCATTGCGGCAACCGTGCTACGCGACCAGACTCTCTTCGACGAGTGGAAAATCGACCTCCAAACAATGAGTGGACGGATTCGAGCCATGCGATCCGCGTTATACGAGGCCCTGCGCGCCTTGGAAACTCCCGGCGATTGGAGACACATCGTGGATCAGATCGGCATGTTCTCCTACACTGGATTGACCCCGGCGCAAGTTGAGCTGCTCAGAGAAGATTACAGTATCTACATGCTCGCTTCGGGCCGTATATCCATCGCTGGCTGTGAGCTGTTCATCAAATCCTTGACCTTGGGCACGCACTGACGGGGACGTGAAAATACAGTGAACACGCACAATGTTGCGTACGTAGCAAACGCAATCGATCAAGTCGTTCGCAGGCCTCAGTGATGAAGAGCAACAGGCACGCGGCCACCCAATAGAAATGTATCTTTCTCAACGATCATGTTTGGTAGACATCAGTGGGACAAATGATCATACGTGTTTTTATTTGTGTGCTTGTCCTGGATCTAGAATTCAAAATAGGCTTTTTCTAACATGGTCCGTTCATGCAACAAAGACAGTTGTCGAACAAGGGACGAATACTGACACTCACGTTCCCTCTCCGGCCGGGGGGGGGGGGGGGGGTTCCCTATAAATGTTCTTTCTCAAAACAGTCTCACCCGGTCTTTTATTGTGAATTCAGTCTCCAACTCGGGTTCCGCGACTTTATCCGGCGAGACGCCATAACCGCCACCACCTGGCGTCAGGACAACGATGCGGTCGCCAACATTCATATCCACACTTGCCTTACCACCCAGGCTAATGGTTCTGGTGGAGCGGTCGTCCGGGTCATGTCGAATCCAGAGATTGATCCCCCGCGCGCCTTCCTCCCCGCCGGCCATGCCGTAGGGGGCAATGACACGTCGTTCGGATAGAATGCTGACCTGCATCGGGCGGCGGATCTCGATGTCTCGCACACAACCGTCGCCTCCGCGGTGACGGCCGGCGCCGCCACTGCCGGCCCGGATGGAGAACTCGCGCAGCAAGACCGGGTACCGCTTTTCCAACGTTTCTGGGTCCGTCATCCGTGTGTTCGTGATGTGCGTGTGAACTCCATGCTGACCGTCCCAGTCGGCTCCGGCACCCGAGCCTCCAGCGATGGTTTCGTAGTACCCGAACCCCTTGACAACACTGCCCTTGTCGTCGGTGCCACCGTAGCCGAATGTCAAGTTGTTGCACGTTCCTTGACTGGCTCCGGCAACGCGGAAGGCCTTGTAGATGACGTCCACGATCCGCTGCGAGGTCTCGACGTTGGAGCCGACCGTCGCTGCCTTCAAATTTGGCTTGAGGATTGAATTCGGTGGACAGATGACCTCGATCGGCGTCAGACAGCCCTGGTTCAGCGGGATGTCCGCAGCCACCATCGTCCGAAGGCAGTACATGATACCACTGAACATGATCGCTGGAGGAGCATTCAGATTGTTCCAGGCTTCTGGCCCGGTCCCGGTGAAGTCGAACTTGGCAGAACCATCGTGGGGATCGATGGTGATGTTCAGAACGAGAGCCGTCCCGTCATCGAGATGGTCAACGGCGCGCAGGGGCCGTCCTCGAAATCTCTTGCTGAACACCTTGAGGAGTGCACGGATGGTGTTCTCGGCATTCTTCTGAATCCCGTCCATGTAGAACTCGACGACAGGCCACGTATATTCGTGAATGAGTCCGTGGATGAGGTTGATGCCTCGCTGGTTGGCGGCAATCCCGGCCTTGAGATCTGCGATGTTGTCCTTCAAAGTCCGTGTACCAGAACAGCCCGGGTATTTGCCGGGGACCTCAAATAAGAGGTTTATCAAACCCTCCTCGTCAAACACACCTTGATTGACCAGCTTAAAAGACTCGATGGCGGCGCCTTCCTGCCACAACTCGGTGGAATTGGGTGGCATCGAACCTGCCGCCATTCCGCCAATGTCCGCGTGGTGACCTCGGTTGGCGACGAAAAAGAGGATGTCATTGGGGTGGTCATCATCATCGAAGACGGGTGTTATCACCGTAAGGTCGGGGAGATGCGTGCCACCCGCGCAGGGATGATTAGCGAGTAGAACGTCGCCAGGCTTGAGTTCACCTTTGGCATAGCGTTCGGCTTGATAGCGGATTGCGTAGCTCATGGAACCCAAGTGACCCGGAATATGGGGTGCGTTGGCAACAAGTCTGCCACTGGCGTCAAATACTGCACAACTGTAGTCGAGACGTTCCTTGATGTTGGTCGAGATTGAGGTTTTCCGGAGTGTCTCTCCCATCTGAAAGCCAGTGTTAGTTTCTCTGAAACACTTTCGGTTCTCCCCTGTCCCAAAAGAGACGTCTTCTCACCTGCTCGGCAACACTCATGAATCGATGACCAAAAACAGAGAGGCGAATAGGGTCGATCTCCTCGATCCCGATATCCGCATCCTTTGTATCCAGCAATTCGATGACAACGTGCTCGGATAAAACGCTTGCCTGACTGTCGGGGTCGAGGACAATTGTCTGCGTCTCATCGACCACCAGGGCTGGACCACGCAGTCGCGTGCCTTTCGGGGTGGTGTTGAGATGGTAGATTTTGGCATCCACCCAGCCCTGCTTCTCGAAATACACTTTTCGAACGAATTGCTCACCCAGTTCTGGCGTTGGGATCGATGATTCCTGGATCTGATTCAGCTCAGAAAACGGACTGGTTGTGGGGAGATCCATTCCCTTTCCTATTCCTCGGACCCGAATGTCGTCGACCAGGATTTCTCGCGGCTGGTCAAACCCAAATTCGCGCCTGTGCCGGGTTATAAAAGTTGTGTCAAACCCTTGATCGGGACTCGACTGGATCATGAGAGAACTGTCACTGCCGCGGTAACGCATATTAAGATAGCTCTCGCAGGTAATTCTGTCGGCTGGGAAACCCTGGGAAACCAGCTGGCCTATCGCCCGCTCCTTCAACACCTCGAGACGTCCTTGGATCCTTTGAGCGGCAGCCGAAGAGAAAACGACAGACTCGGGCTCCTGAAGGTCGACAACGACATCTGCCAGAGCCATGCCGTACGCCGACAAGATGCTCGAATATCGATGGATGATGACTCGCTTGATACCCAGATCCCGTGCCATGGCAGTGGCGTGTTGGCCACCGGCGCCTCCGAAGCAGACGAGATGATGAGAAGAGGTTTCAAACCCGCGGCCCTCGCTGAGAGAGCGAATCGGGCGAGTCATGGCAGCGTTGGCGACCTGCAAGAACCCCATGGCAACCTGCTCGGGGGTCAAGACATCTTGTCTTTGCGAGTTGATTTCGGTGGTCAATTCCAGGAACCGCTTCTCCACCACGGCCATGTCCAAGGGACGAGCAAAATAATCTGGCAAGATGCGCCCGAGGAAGAAGTTCGCATCGGTGATTGTGAGTGGCCCCCCCTTTGCATAACACGCGGGTCCAGGATCAGCCCCGGCGGATTCTGGCCCGACTACAAAGAGGCCATTGCTGTAGAAGAGCCGGCTCCCTCCACCAGCGGCGACTGTAAAAAACAAGTTTCAGCAACGGAACAAAACGCAATAGTATCGGTTACTAGATAAACACTTACCAGTCTGAACATCTAGTTGAGGTGTTTGGATGGTCACTTGGGCCGTCGTTGTTTCAAACACATGTTCAAACTCCCCGCTGAACCGTGAAACGTCCGTGCTCGTGCCTCCCATGTCGAAGCCTAAGATGGGCGTGCGTGACTCGTGGTCAAAGCAAGTCTTCGCACAGCCAATAACACCGCCTGCTGGCCCTGACAAGATGGCTCGAAGGCCTGTGAATGCGTTGATGGGGGTTAGTCCGCCATCAGACTGGCAGAGGAGGAACTTGTTTGCGTTTTTGTCGAGAAGGTGACCTTTGAAGGAGGTTCGAAAGCTGTTCAAATACCGCGTAATGACCGGGGACAGATAGGCATCTGCCGTCGCTGACTGAGCTCGAGGCACGATCTTGATCATAGGCTGTAACTCGGATGAGACGGAGACGTTGAAGCCCATGCTGCGGGCGATTTTGGCAATGGCTGCTTCATGATTCGGATAGGCGTATGAGTGGAGCAGTGCCAGTGCGATATCTCGATAGCCCTCTTTCCAAAGCCCGTGCAAGTCTTTGGTAACCGCGTCCAGATCAGGTCGCTTGAGAATGCGGATTGCCTCGCCTGTTAAACCTTCCACGAGCCCGACATCTGAGCTCACGTCGATAGGCAACGGATCGGGGTCTTCAGAGAAGCCTTCCACGGTGACTCTCTCATCGACTTCGACCACCGTCTCATACAGCACATCAAGCTTGGTGATGGACAGGTCGAACAGATGGGGCCGAGCCTGATTTCCAATGACCAACAAGTCGTGAAATCCCTTGGTTATCATCAGAGCCACGCGCTCGCCCTGTCTTTCGAGGAGTGCACTGGTCACAATGAATCAGCGTATTTTCCTTCCACGTTTCGTCTGCTCATCAAAAACGAGGAATAGGTCTGTCTCACTTGGTGGCGACCGTTGTGCCCATGCGAATAGACTCGACTCCATCGAGATCGATGAGAGTGCCCTTTGGGATTTCTTCGCCCCTGGCGATGCCAAGTATCCTTCGAATGCCTTCCGTAGGGGCATCCTCGTACTGATCAGGAGCATTTGAGAGAAGTTTAAATACCAGTGCATCCTCCCGCCCAGGAATTCGCGCCCAGCTATATTCCCACACACCGGGTCAGCTACAGCAAAAATAAAATAAGTGTATTCTGTCTCACAAGTCACAAAAGGTGCCTCCCCGGTCAACTGCAATTCGAACTCCTGGACAATCCAACTCTGTTGCCAGCGTCGTGGAACGGTTGTCGTAGGACCCCATCACCAAAATCTAGGCGCCAAATACCAAAGGTTTGATTTTTTGGGTCTATGGAACGCTCTCTTAGCCATGACAACGCTGGCAATCTGTCTTAAGAGAGCTTCTACCGCGGACTTCACCACGAGAGAAGGAGTACTGGGCATTTCAGGCCAAGCCATGTCCTCACGCTCTTTCGGGGTTGATGGGCGTTTATGCCGGGCCCACATCCCTATCACTATCCCTCGGCGACCTGCGCCATATACCGATCTTTCCTATCTTAGACTTTAGTCCAAAAGGCCGGGACTTGTCAAAGGAAGCCCGATCGTGGCATACACAACTACAGTTGGCTTCGACCCGGTGCAGGCCATAGGACAAGTTGATGTGTTGGACTATGTTATAATCCAGTCCCCACGTCTTGTAGATGGCGACTCTTGAACAGCTCATAATCTTCTCGCAACAAGTCACAATCTATTTGGTGGAGAGCTCTGTGGGCGAAAATCTTGACAAATTGCAAGCATGACTGAGACAAGTAACCATGGCCCTTTGCAGGACCTAGGCGCAGTCGAACCTAAGCTTGCGACCGCCACCGAAAAGACCGTCGTCGACGAGTGCAAGAGCGTCGATACGCCAGGAATTTCTACCTTCTATATCGATCCTGTCAAGGAGAGGAAGCTGATGAGGAAATTCGATGTGGGCCCTCCCTCGCTTTGTCGCCCAGCCGTCGCGAGGCCATGTGCTGATTGATCCCTGGACAGTTCTACGCTATTGGTCTCCTGGGACTTTTCTACATGTCCGCCAATCTCGATCGGTATGCACCCGTCCATTTTGATGTAATGTCAGAGAGCTGGTGGTTGACTGGTTTATCTCACCCGCAGGAGTAACATTGGTAATGCCAAAGTCGCCGGCATGGACGTTGACATCGGCCTCGTTGGTAACCAATTTGGTACTGCGACAACACTCCTCTTTGCCACATACGTACCCTTTGAGACCCCAGTCGCTGTCCTATTGAAGATTGTCGGTGCGAAACCGCTCCTCTCCGTCTGTGCCTTCTCTTGGGGTATCGCATGTCTTGGAATGGGCTTCATTCAGGACTACAAGGGCTTGTATGCCTGTCGGCTATTGATTGGTGCCTTCGAAGCTGGATTGATCCCGTGCATTAGTGAGCGCCCCAGTTTTTGAATTTCAGACCTCCTTTGGGAGAATGTGTTGTGACTGACGACGTTTCTCCGCTGCGATAGATGTCTATCTGGGACTCGTCTATAAGAAAGAGGAGCGGGCGAAGCGATCAGCCGTAATTTTCGCATTTTCAGCATGCTCGAGCGCCTTTGGTGGCATTCTGGCCTATGGGCTCTGCCAACTGCGTGGCCCAGGCAATTTCGAGGGCTGGCGGTGGCTGTTTGTCGTCGAGGGACTGATCACCATCGTCCTCGTACCGGCCTTTTGGTTCCTGTTCCCTACCTCGCCGGTTGATGCTTGGTTCCTCGGTCCCGAGGAGAAGCAGATCATGAGGGCTAGATACGACAATGATCCTCACTGGGGTTACGATGAAAAATTTAGCTGGACCGAAGTCATCAAGGTGGTCAAAGACCCCAAGTGGTACTGCTTGTAAGTTTAAAAAACCAATTGCGCCCGGCTGCTCTCTCTCTCTGCCTGGCCGTGTCGGTCACTGATCACACTCGGAACAGCTGGATCTACCAATTTTCTATCAACATCTCCCTGTATTCGTTCACCACATTTCTTCCCTCGATCATCAGTGGCTTGGGGTACCACGGCGTCAAAGCCAACTTGATGACTGTGCCAATCTATTTCTGGGGCATGTGTTGGTGTCTGTTCATTGCTTGGGCATCCGATAGATCTGGTTACCGTGGACCTTTCATCGCCTTTCATCTCCTGGTTCTAATCATCGGTTACTCGATCTTGGTGTCGGTCAAGTCTCTCGGTGTTCGATATTTTGGCTGCTTCGGTAAGTCTTGTTATTGCCACCCGGCACACCGGAGCTGTGCAGGCTCGGGATAGAAGCTGTATATCAGACAAGAAGAAAGCTGACCGCAATTTCCATCAGTTGTTGCAACCGCCATCTACGCAAACACCGGCACTTCACTGATGTGGCTTAATGACAATGTGGCAAGGCATTTCAAACGAGCTACCATGTTGGGTGCGACAACTACCCTCGCCAACACAGCGGGTGTTGCTGTTGGCCAGATTTTCACCAGTGACTCGGCACCTCGATATCTCCGCGGGATGTATGTCGCCATGGGGATGGCGGGAGTGGCGTTCCTGGCAATTGTGGGTATGATGATTGGGATCAAGGTGGTGAACAAGCGCCGTAGAGAGCAACTTGCGCGCGCAGAGGAGGCTGGAAATCCGATCCCACCTCAGCCCGAGTTGGGTGACTCAGATCCACATTTTATATACAAGTGGTAAGATATATATCGAGAGACAGTTAGTATTCGCTTAAGGGGGTGTAGCTGTTTAGTAAATCATTTGCTTTGGGGTACTAGTATATAGTTGTTTAGTGATTATCATTCTATTGACCAGAGAGGGAGAGAAAGACGCAAAGCGTGAGGAGCGCAGGTGTCAGCGCTGCTTCCTGCGTCACCTGAGTTGCGGTTTTGTATATGAGCTATGGTGAAGTAGTTAACTAAAGTTAGGTTTGAAAGAGTGTAACGATGAGAGCGTAGCTACTAAGTACTATATACTTTAGGCGATCCGGTCCGATCAGGCGATGAGCAATGGCATGTTGCAATCATTCGTTGGAATGTCTTCTACACTCAAGGTCGCTATTCTCACTCAATCTTTGCGAATAGTACCAGTAGTCAGTCGCTATTAACAAGGTCGCTATTCTCACTCAATCTTTGCGAATAGTACCAGTAGTCAGTCGCTATTGCAGCACCGTTTTGGGAAATACCAAGTTAGGCGAGAAGCGCAGCTAGACCACTTTGAGCGAATTTCGTGACTCGTTTCATTTTGGCAGTTAGTGGGCAAATCTTCGCGGAAGTGTGCTGTTGAAACAACACACTCTTTTCAATATGTACCCTTTTGCACGAAAATTGGCCGTCGACACTGTATAAGCAGTGTGCTGGATGAAGGATCGAGGAGCAATTAGTTTAACTCATATATTCTTGTCCGAGGAGTTCTCTACTTTGTAGAACGGGATAACAAATAGTCGTCGACGTTAGTTAGCTCTATCTCGGGTGTACTACTGCACTGATACGATCTATGACCGGATGTAGTATCAGCTCGATATGTACCTACTACCATGCACTGGGTCTGAGTGTAGTACTCACGGGGCATAAAACTAGACAAGCATGTCATTTACTGGTAGTTTGGCCAACTGGGCAGAAAAGAACGTTTGCAAAAGGCAATCGAGCGAGGTAGATGATTCGAATCAAGTGTCGACCTGACACTGCTGCAGAGCCTCTCTCGACATGATTCAAAACCCGCTTGCCTTACCATCAGGATGGAATGCAGCCTTTCTCCCCGCCCAACCCTGATCAAATCCAGCTCAACTCAACTTCTTACCTTAGATTGAGATCAATTCCCAGCGTAGGTACCTTCAAATTGTCGCCCCCTCGCTCGAGCCCTGAATCTAGCTTGTACAACTGTTAATAATGTACAACAGACGCTACACTATCTACTAGTGATCTTGCCCACCCCTAGTTATTTAGATACAGTTTTAATGCTACTCTCGTGTGATAGACCTCGAATGCGCATTAGCTACATTGATGCGTCCTTAAATTTTAACCTTAAGATGCTGAGTCAATATGCATCATCAGCACTGTACTATCTATGCTGTATCTATGTATCTATCTATGTAGTATCAAACTATCTAAGGAGGCCGGTAAAGTATCTATACTAACCACCTATTTGGGCCATATGTGATATCACTCCGAATGCCTCGATTAGTCTTGCCACCTACTACCACTTCTTGACCGACTACATAGCTGCACAGCGTTACTGTATCTGATAATTACTACCAATTGATGTAATCCAGGTCACCGCTATGTGTGCTCACTATAGGTGGGCCCTCCTTCCTACTACTACTACTATCTGATGTTCGATGCGCTTAATACGGGCAAGGGTACTAACTAGCAGCCCTACTTGTCTCATACAGTCAGTCGATCAGTCAGTCAGTGAATGGAATTGCTTTTACTACTCCTGGCCCTCATAGGAAAGGTGGCAGACAGGGAATATTGTGGGCGTATCACCACGCCAAGTGATGTTTGAGAAATGTGAGCGAGCGCCGGAGAGTTCTTTATGGTGCCATATATACTATAGATACTAAGTACTACTAGTAACCCTTCCTCAGCCCCCGAGGGTATGTATCTACGTCTATAGTCCTTCCTCCCCTATAGCTTCGACGGCTTGACCAGGCCCAATTCCCGCTTCGCCCGCTCTCGGAGCTCCCTCCGCAGATACTTGCCGATGGCGTTCTTCGGCAGCTCCTTCACAAAGACGACCCCTCCTCGGAGCTGCTTGTACGGCGCGAGACGCTGCTTGACAAAGTCCTTGATTTCCTCCTCGCTGATTTCCTTGGGGTCGGCGACGACATAGGCCCGCGGCAGATCCGTCCCGGGGTCGTCTGGCATGTTGACGCCGACGACGGCCGCTTCCTGGATCTTGGGGTGGGTGAAGAGTAGATTCTCGATCTCGGCGGGCGCCACTTGGAGGCCCTTGTATTTGAGGAGCTCCTAGAAAAATCATTTATTGTGAGCAAAATGATTCGAATGGACGTCCGGGACTATTGCCTCTCTCTCTGGGGGAAAACGAACCTTCTTTCTGTCGACGATGTAGAACTTGCCATTCCGCAGAATTCCAATATCGCCAGTGCAGAACCAGTCCCCGTGGAATGATTCTTTCGTCGCTTGGGGATTGTTAAAGTAGCCTTGCGTGACGAGCGGACTTCGGACCAGCATTTCACCTTCCTGGCCCGGCTCAACGTCGTTGTAGTTCTCGTCGACCATCCTGCGGAAACAGTGAGTAACAGGAGTGGCAAAATCAAATCTGGAATATCATCTTACCTGATTTCGACATTGGGGAGGATCGGAGAAATGCTTCCAGTCGTATCACTCTGACCCCTCGGCATCATTGTCACCGCGCCTGTTGTCTCACTCAATCCCCACGTTTGACCGATGAAGGTCTCGCCTTGACCAAGTTTGGAATTTGCAGCAGTCTGCAAATCGCCGTCCATAGGAGCCGCGCCAGTTGTAGCAGCATCGAGGGACTTGAAGGCGTCCTTCACCTCAGGGGCCTTGGATATGCGGAGGTATATGGACGGGACGGTGTAGAAGGCGGTAATCTCGTACTGTTTGGCATACTTCAACAGTAGGTTCCACTCGTACTTGCGCATCCACACCACCAACCCGCCCGAATAGAAGGGTGCGACGAGATATCCGAACAGGCCAGCAATATGGCTGATAGGGAGATGAGCGAGAGTCCGGTACGGCTTGAGCTCCTTCCCGGCTGCAATCTGCTTCGCAGCCCACTCTCTGCCGGCCACCGACGTTACAAATGACTCTTGCACGAGGTTTTCGTGGGAGATCATGACTCCCTTGGGAAGACCCGTGGTGCCCGAGGACCATAGAATCACAATCAGACTCTTCTTCAACGCCGTGGGATCGGTAATGCGCTCCCACGTCAGGGTCTGGTCCGAGATGACATTGATGCGGCCATCTAGGCTCGCCAAGCTCCAAGGATTGGAATCCAGCACCAGAACCCTTTCTAGTGGAAGATTACACTGTTTCGCCGCCTGGGTTGCCACGTCTTTGTGTTCCGAACCACAGATAATCAGGCGGCTGGTACCGACGCTGACCTGTCGAGCCAGATCTGCCACCGTCGAAGAAGGACTGGCGGCAGAATAAACTCCTCCAGCAGCGATGGTGCCATAAAAGGCTGCTGGCACCATGGTTTGGCCGTAGCTGATGACAGTGATGACATCCTTGTTCGGACCACTGGCACCGACACCATAGTGTTTCCGTAGACCATGGGCAATGCGCTCAGTGAGGTTCCGGAGCTGCTTCTTGGTGATCTTGTTTGACGGGTTCGATGCTTCTAGATGTAAAACAGTGTCGTCCTGAGCCGCACAGTGTTCAGTCTCTGGCTGGTTATCAGCAACGTCTCTTATCAGAAATTGAACCGTGGGACACATACCAAACAGCAAGGTCAACAAGTCCACCTTCGGGACATCAACAACAGGTTTGTCGGGATTGCGATAGATTCTAGCCATGATGTCTGATGCCGGGCAAGGGTAACTTCTAAGTTCCTTCCAACAATGCCAACAAATAGAAAGGCCTCCAACTCCGTCACTGTTAATGTGATAGAAAATCTTTGTGGACAGAGCAAGTTCCCTCTTGTTCGGCTAGTCCTCCCAGCCGTTATTTGATCGGGGAGCCTTGACCGGGGTTGTGGGGTAAGAAGAGGGTGTGTTACCGAGGTCTGCAACTCGGGTGCAGAGGTACTTCGGTTAACCAGATCTCGGGTAGAGAGAGAAAGAGAGAGAGAGCGGGCATTGGCACGCCAATCCAGCCTTGCAGTTAGGCCTGGTCATTCAGTTACCTGCCTGGGCTTGTCTGGTCGCATCCAGGCTTTCCGTCGAATCATCGAGACTGCGCCTTGGCCAACCGCAGTCAATGTCGGTCAGCCTTGCTACGACAAAAACGGTCTAGCGCAGCCTTGTGTCCAGTATCGTTGTCACTGACGTCACCGTTGTTTGGCGTCAATCTTTCCCTGAAATATATCCGTTTCCAGGCACTTACTTCCAACACACCCAGTTACATCGATTACTACTCTCGGAGTGGAAAGCTTAATTGTCAAGCCATGGGAAGCCGTCGGGACCAGAAGATCTCGCGCTCAATCGTCTTTGCTATCCAACAAGACGACGAGGCAGAGAAGCGGGTCAGACTGTGGCGTCCTATCAAGACCTTCTTCGCTCTCTACGGCCTGCTCTTGATCAGACTTCGCCCCGAGTTGTTCAAGAGGCTCAGAAATAGGACATGGCTTCTGTCCGATGATGAGTATCGGGCTAGCTTCAAGGACAAGGCCTCGCTCGTGTCCAAGGGTGACATGGGTTATTCGGGATCGGTATGTGCAAAGTCTTCTTCCATCTTGAAATGTAAATTACTAAACAAGGACGTCTTGCAGACATTCTTCAATACAACAGACAACAGATTCCTCATCAAATCCATCCCTCGTCACTTCGAGCACACCTTCTTCCGAGACGAACTGCTCGAGCCATATGTGTCACACATGGAGTCCTACCCCAAGTCGCTCCTCGTCCGCATCACCGACTTCCTTGGATGGCGTTACCCGAGCATCGGAGGCCTCCTTAGGATCACCCCAACTTACCATCTCGTCATGGAGAACCTGTTGCACGGCCAAAAGGAAGATTCCAAGTGGCAGACCTTTGATCTGAAGCCAATGTCGTATTTCTTCCCGGAGCGTGACATTGCTGGCGGCAAACTCGCCTCGGAGGCCACCAAGTCCAAACTCGCCGACAAATTCGACGACAAAATCCTCCTCAGTCGCGAACAGGCCGATGAATTCTTCCAACTCCTCGAAACCGACACGGAACTCCTGGCGAAACACAACGCGGTCGACTACAGCCTGATGCTGGTGAGGATCCCCAAGTCGTCGGTGGAGATCGACGCGAGCCAGAACCCTTTCAACGACCCGCCGAACTGGCGGACGGGCGTGCCCAGCCAGGACGACAAGTGGCTGTTCCGCGCGGTGATTCTCGACTTTTTCTGGGCCAGGCACAAAGTCCACGCGAAGACCATGACGATGCTCATCAACGCGTGGAGGATGATTGACGACAAGGGCCCCATGAGCATCACCACCACGGCGCCCGAGTACCGCGAGAGGTTCTTGAAGATGTGCAGAGAAATCGTCAGGGTGCAGGAGGAAGTGGCAGAATAGCAGTTCCCCCTTTTTATCTTACTTTACTGTCCGTTCTTAGCAAGCGAGCAAGCGAGTCGGGTTGGGGGGTGGGGTTTGGTTCCTGGAATTGCCCACCAGCGAGGTTACAAGCACTGCAGGTAATATCACCAGGTGTCTGAGTGTCTGGGTAACGGCATAGTCCGAGCAATGAATGAATGTAATGAATGTCTCCTGTTCTCGCACATCCCTCGTCATCTCCATCTCTACCTCCCTCCGCATCTGCAGATATTGTCATCACTACCGACTCTCTAGTAGAAGTGCACCTTGGTACCTAAGCCCGGGCCAGGGCGCATGTGTAGGTGGACACTGTCAAACACCCGCCCCTTAAACATTGGAAGATATATCGCTTTTGTCCGAGCCGACCGAGTTCTGGAAGCTTTTCCTTCACGCCCTCCTCCTGCTCGAGTACCGATCTCGGAGGAAATGTTCGACCAGGGTCTTTTCTCGCGCGGTCATGGTCGTGGGTTGTTGTTGCTCGCTGTCTTTTGTCGTCCCCGTCTCTGCGGCATCTGGAGTTCCTTCCTGCTGCTCCCGATGTCGCTTCTGCTGCGGTGATGGCGGCGGCGGAGGAGGAATAGAGGGAGAGGTAGGTAGAGAGGGCGAGTGGGAGGGAGAAGGGACTCCATTGACGCCGTTGACGACGATGTCGTCTTTTTCTTCGCCTTCTGTACCAGTCCCAGTAGCACCACCAATACCACTGCCAGCGGCGTGTGAGTTGTCCGGCCTCAAGTCCCCGTGATATGGCTTCTGGAGTCGCCCCCCGTCCCACTCGTCGCGCCGGAACGACCACGCCGCGACCGTGTCCTCGGGGTTGAGGACCAGTCCGACCTTTTGTGCCAGTGATACGGCGACTTCGGACGGACGGGAGCCAGGCTGGAAGAACAGACGCTGCCAGTCCGCGCCGTCGCCGTCCGTCTTGCGCATCTCGCGCTGCCCGTTCTCGACTCTTGCCTTGGCGTCCGCCGCGCCCTGCATGTCCCCGCGCTGCAGGGCCTCGCGGACGTCGCACCACGCGCGTCGAGATTCCCACGGATCCTGCTCCGTGATGGGGTCTGTAACGAGCGCCGTGGTCGCGGCCGTCGTGACGTCAAACGTCTCGAGCTCGATGTCCTGCCTTGGGTCGCGGATCACGAACTGGCCGTCCCAGTGGCCCGAGACGGTGTAAATGGGAGAAGCATGGCCCTCCTCCTCGTCATCGTCACTGTGACGGTCGTCACGATAGACCCTGGCCTCGAAGCTATGTTTCCTGTCCGCGCCCGAGAAGAGACCCCTCCCGCTAAAGTCGATGGTGGAAGTGTACCCGCTCGTGCAGGGGATGTGGTGTGTGCCCTGCAACTCTGGGTAGGGCGAGCCGGTCAAAAGACCCTTGATTTTGATGTTGGGCAGCGGAACCAGGTACGTCTCATTGTGGTGCGCGAGGTGGAGCGTGGCGTGCCCGATCTGCTGGATGTTGACGTTGCCGCTGAAGGTGATTTCCTGGCGGGTATAGCCCTCTGCCTGGGTACCAAAGGGAATGTGAGAACGTGTTGGTGTATTTCGGGACAGCAACCACCGCCGTAGATCGTTTTGGATGGTAGATCCAAACGAGAGGTTGCGGAGAAGAAAGACATACGAGGGACAAGCTTACCGTGACGCCGTGTTTCTCGTTCCAAACCCGACATGCAGTGACAGGTGGGTGATGACTTGCGAGAAATCAGAGAGATGCCTGCAGCGACGAATACCAACGAGCCCCTAACCCTGAAAGGGCAAACCAAGAGCAAGAAAGACAGGAAGGGACGGCCACAAACATACCTAACTTGTTCGCTAACCAGCCTTGTCACTCCAGTTCCATCTCGGTCGTCGTCGTCCTCCTCCCACCTGGCCAGGAACAGCTCGCCGAGAAAAGCGTTGATGGGCTTCTTCACGCCCTCGGCCGGCGACCTACCCGCATACTGCTGATTGCGCAGTGACGAGAGGAACCATTTCAGCACCAACAAAGCTCGCTCGGCGGGATCTTGTGCGGCCACTGGAGCCACGAAGATGGAGGGTCTCTCGGCCCAGAACGAAGGCAGTTCGACGGCCGATTTAGTGTCAAGGACGAATGGCGGGGCAGTGATGTTGGAGAGGTCGCCGCGGATGGTGGCGATGGACTGTTTGAACGAGAGCATCCCTTGTCAGTGAGTGGGAGATGTTCGGGCCATGCGGGATGAATTGCAATTTTGTTTTCTTCCCCAACAGGACAACAACACGGTGCAGAAACTGGGAAAGTTCTAGGCCATGGCGGCTCTATTTTCCCTTCCCTCTCCCCCTCCCCCTCCCCTCCCCTGATCAATGATCTCAGGAAGGGTTGGTGGGGGGAGGGTAGCGGGAAAAAGAGCCAGTATCACAGAACCAAGGGGACAGAGGGGGACAAGCAAACACAATCGGACTATACGAACGGCAATAAAGTCTTTCAACTTGGACCGGTTCTCAGACAGCGTCGGCTCTGCCATTGTCCGTCAATCATAAAGTGCCTCCCTCAAAGAGAATCGACTGAGACAAGCCTGATAATAGCCAGGAGGGCAGATGCCTAACTAGACCCTAGAGAAGGACAAACAAAGCAACACATCAGTACAGTTAGGGGGGTTTTTCGTCTGTTCTCGCAAGGAATTTGTGGTTTGTCTGGTGTGCATCGTGGAAGTATTCGGGGAGTTGGAAGTGGATGGAGATGATATCATCATGTCGTGATGTCGGGACACCAACCGGCCACGGCAAACGGGATCCCGTTAAATCGTTCCTCGTTTGTCTGCCGGGCGGGTAGATATGCGGCCTACCGAGAGTTTGCAATTCTATCTAGAGGGTGGTTGGGCAGACGAGGTAAGGAGGAAAAGAGGGAACGAAGCTATAATCGCATTCCCGTGGAGCGATGGTATGAGAGACTTTTCCTTGTGGTCTGTCTGGTCGATCGCCTTGATTTATTCAACCGCCATCAGCCATCACTCCGCTCCTTATCCGTCGAGTCGCTGTCGCCAGGAACCCCGGCGCCCTCACCAGGTTTCTTCTCGTTCAAGCCCATGTCAGCCCATTTCTCGAGCAACTGACTCAACTCGGTATCCGGATCCTCCTTGATAAGTATATGATTGGGGTACTTGGAGCTGAAGGTAAGGTGCTCATGGCCTGCCCAGGCAAGGTCCTTCACAATGACCGTCAGCTTCTCAAGGAGAGCTTGACTAACACCGCCGGGAGGCGCAGGTCCGTCCCCAACGGCAGCGACCTTGTCTTCAGCTGTTTTCAGTAACATGTGCGTGATACCCTTGACCAGTTGTCGCTGCCTCGAGCATCCTACCAGGACTCGCATGATCTCCAGCAGTAGTTCCTCCTCGACCACAGAATCGAGGTTGCCAGACAGCAGGAAACTGGCGGCGAGGATGCCAGATTGTGGCGTCAATACAGTGAAGAACCGGGGCCCGTACCTCGAACCTGCTCTCTGGATGATGTGTATCGTGACCGTCGTGATTTGCAGACACATATCCTTTGTTTCGCGTGTGACCTGCGCAAGCTCGTCTTGACTAGGGCGACGTGTAGCTGATTCGGTTCCTGCTGCCGCTGAATCCTGTGTTGGCTCGGCGTTGGGCTTGGTGGCACTTTGGGGCAGCGGGATCGTCCAGTTCCACAAAAGCAGCCGGAAATGATGGAGGCTCAATCTGGTGCACATGTCAGCATATCAACGTCAACCAAGACTGACGGGTCAGGGGTGCTGTACGCCAAGTCGATCGTTGTCGGTACCAGAACAAAATCTGGGTCGTCCACCTGAAACTGCTGAGGTATAGATCCATACCATTCCAACATTTTCTTGTCCATGTCCCGAGCCGCTTGGAGCCGTTCTACCGCATCCATTTTGGCATAGTCGGCAAAGATCAGAGACTGGACATCGCTCGCAAAAATATACAGCTCGCACATGTAGTGATATAGAGCTTGGAGTGGCAACCGTACAGGATCTCCAGCCATGGGATAAGGTGACCATGATGTGAGACGGTTGCGCCAACTCTCAGAGGCATATGGCGCTTCCAGGGAAGGCTTTGGACTCAGTGGCGGGACCAGGAACCCCGTACCAAAGCCCCTGATGAACACGTCAATCAAGTGCTCAAATTTTGATAAAGGGGTTTTCATGCTCACGTTGAATATATGTGCGCCGCCCACTCGACGATCTGGAAGGACCGTCGCAGATCCTCAGACACCTCCGGCGATTTCTGGTGTCGACGAAAAAGCTGGGGCATCATGACTTCGAGCTGTTTCAAAGAGGTAAGGCTCACCCTGTCTTTGCCTGAGAAAGCTGACCTAATCCAGTATATCAACGTGTGGATCGGCCAAACCGCGATGGCTCCAACTCACGTCATTATCATGATAGTGAAGCCTTGAATATTGGTCAGAGTTGGTTTGGCCGCTTCTATTGCCCAAAGCCGCTGGGCTTCGTTGTGAAAATGAAGTCCTCGTGAGCTCGCGTCCCCGGGTGTCGCAAAGGCCATAGGGTGGTCTGAAAAGAACTGTCCATTGTCGTCAGCACATGTGCTCTCGCACGCTTTGCGTCGACAAGACACCCACACATCCCATTCCCAGCACTGCGTTAACCAAGAATGGTGAACAGTAAGGGGACTGTAGATTCTTCGCAACCATAGCATCAAGAAACAACTTCTCGTCAAAGTTGTGGTAATAAAAGTGGTACCAATTTAGGTAGGACGACACCAGATGGGAGACAAGTTGGTCATCTTTGGTAACGGTGGTCCAGGGAGCCGCAGGAACCTTGTAAGTTGGATCGTCAACCAGCTCACTGATTGCGAGCATACGGCGTATCCCGCCGCCGCCCTCTGGAGGAGGCGTGGCAGAGAGAGCCCTCCGTGTCTCATTCGCCACGGGTCCTGGATGAGCGTCAAGAAACTCAAGAATCTCCTCGAGAGGAGCATCCCGTTTGATGAGTTCGAGCAACTGTCGTGATTCAGGGGCTGACGAGTTCCTGAGACTGA